ATCCACAAACAGAGCAAGAAATAGCTTTATGTCCCGTAAAGTGTCTGCTGATCAATTCGAGATCCACGACAGACCAGTCTAATTTGAGGTTGAAACGCTGAAGGTATAAAGCTGCCTTAGCTGAAAAACTCTTATGGTATTCGTAAAATAGGGAGCCTCCGTAATTAAGTGCCAGGTCTGATATGATCGCTGAATAGGTATCGAGTTCAATCCTCTGCTTAGGAAAAACCTCACATAGAGTGTCTCTGTACACGCCGAAAGCCACATTAAACTCCGCTAGAGACAAACTTTTAGAAAGTCTTGGGTCACATTCTTTGAGAACGACCGAGACATCACCACAGTCAACCACACATTTATTTAAGACTCCTGAAGAACACAGTAAAATTTTTACTAGGTTGATGTCGTTACCTGCGATTATTTGGTTCCTCAAACTTTGAGGAATACCTGCTGCCGGCGGGATGAAAGGAGCTCCCGAAGATGTAGCAGGTACAGCTGAGGCAAGGGTATGACGTGGCAGGAAGTCCTGGGAGAAACCAGCGGAGGTGTCTTGGAGAAGAGGTGTGGCTTGAATGTTGCATGGCTATCGTCGGCCAACGCGTTGTTGGTGTTTTTTCAATGTATGCTTTAGACATGGGTCACGACGAGGCGTTCCCCCATAGCGACCCCTAGAGGACGCAGTGTCTCGTTCCCTACTCAGGGAACCATGGTTACATACGTAACCTGAGACGTTTTTAGTCAGTTTAATCCTATTACTGGCACTCAGCTTCAAGAAATAGTGGAGCACCTCAAGCCTTCTGGCTCTTCTACTGATATTATCCCTCCATTTTTTTCTTAAACAAGTCCTTGATGTTGTTGGCTCCCATCTTCTGATCATGTTAAATCGCTGTTTAGAAACTGGCATTATGCCTGATCTGCTAAAACATGCAACAGTTCACCCCTTCCAAAAACAAAACTTAGACTCCACAGTGTTGGGTAATTTTAGACCCATCTCCAATCTATCTTTTATTACGAAGATTTTGGAAAAAATAGTCCTCCAACTATTGCAAAGTTTTCTAGCTGCTAATGAAGTTTTTACATTTTTCAATCTGGGTTTAGAAAAAGTCATTCTGCTGAGACTGCATTGTTGAAGGTTTTTAATGATGTACTAATAACATGTGATTCTGGTGAAAATGCTGTTCTTGTGCTTTTAGATTTAATGGCTGTTTTTGATACAGTAGATCATACTGTTCTTATTGCCCATTTTGAACATTGTGTAGGCATTACAGGCAGTGTATGGAGTGGTTTAAATCGTATTTTTCCAACAGAAGCTTCCCAGTTAAGACTGGAGAGTATACCTCTAGTAATGCTGTATTATCATGTGGGGTTCCTCAGGGCTCCATCTTCTCTTTACATGCTGCCACTTGGTTCTATTATTAGAAAACATGGGCTGTCATTCCATTGTTACGCTGATGACACACAAATTTATCTGCCCCTCAAACAAAATTCAGATGGTTTGCATAACCTCTTGGCATGTTTGACTGATGTAAAGGCATGGCTTTCTTCAAACTTTCTGAATTTCAATGAGAGTAAAACAGAAATTATTATATTTGGACCCTTCGATTCCTCTGTTACTCTTAAAGTAAATTTGGGTGGGCTGTCTTCGGCCGTGAAACCGTGGGTGAAAAATTTGGGCGTTGTGTTTGATGAATCTTTGAAATTCGATAAGCAGATTAATTATGCTCCAGCTTGACTTTTATCAAAAATAAAGACTTTTCTTTCTTTTAGAAATTTTGAAAAAGTAATCCATGCCTTTATTTGTTCAAGGTTGTTGGGATTAGTCATTCAGCTATGTCCCGATTACAATTAGTCCAAAATGCAAAACTTTTAACGGGTGCTCATAAATGGGATCATATTACTCCTGTCTTACGTTCATTACACTGGTTGCTGGTGTGCTACAGAATGGATTTAAAAATTGTACTTTTTGTGATTCAACCAGATCACTCAGCTCATTAAATCAGAGACTCTTGTCGATTCCCAAGTCAAGGTTGAAATGTAGGAGTGACCCTGCTTTTTCTGTAGCTACCCCCAGACTTTGGAATGATTTGCCCATCTCGTTTAGACTGTCACCATATTTGTCTGCTTTTAAATCTAAGTTAAAAACTTTTCTGTTTGATAAAGCATTTAATACTTGAAGCATCTTCTATTGTATATTACTGTTTTTATTATGTTGAAGCACTTTATTTTATGGTACTGTATTAAAATTGTAATTGTTTCTGTTTATATTGTTTGTGGTTTTAGTTATTGTAAAGCACATTGGTGAGCGTGGGTTGTTTTTAATTGTGCTATATAAATAAGTTGTCATTGTCATAACCACAGGTCGAGAGCTGTAGTTCCAACCATGTAAAGCCTTCTACACACTGCATGTTTTTCGGCTGTCCCAGACAAAAGATTGGCATTGTGAAACAATCGTGGTGATTTCTGTGACCATGGCTCCTAAACGGTGGTCCTATATCGTACAGTGGTTCAAAGACAGCCCATTGTCACGGTCTTGCGACCAAAGATAGCCAGCGATCATTTTCGGACAGTGTCAGAAATTCAGCACGATAAGCTATGAGCCATGTTTACTGACCAGCCAATAAAAATGCAACATGAAATGATTGATCAATGCGACATGGCACTAAAACTGCTTACCTCAAACTCTTTTAACTTCCTATTTCACAGCTTCCACTTTTTTTCAGCAAACATAAAAAGTACAACTTTTGCCAAACTGTGCTTTGTCATGCTCTTTTTGTTTACCACTAGCACATGCTAATGACATTTTATTCTTCAATTGTAACAAAAAGTACAAATCACTAGTCTCATCATCTTACAGTCTGCATACATGTCGTACCCAAGTTTATTAGATCTATGTCACACAGTGTGATTTGTAATGATCTTATAGGATTGTTTAAATCTTGCAGTGTGTAGAAGGCTTAAGTTTGCGAATGTTCATTGGAACTATGGTTTCAGGAATCACCGAATCGATGAACTAAGTTGGTAATGACAGAACTCGCGACCACAGTTGGATAACGATGCTTTTGGGAAATGCACCCCAGAATGGATCATTTAATTTGTGACTGAATCGTTTGGTGGGATTTGTGAACCGGTTTAACAGGTTAATTGAAAAATAATCAGTTTGTTCAGACACTTTTGCATCTCGGAGCAGGTGATGATTTCTTCATTTCATAATAACGAGTAACGATACGATTTATGAAATGTAGTGAATTAAAAAGTATGATCTTCTTTGGAATGTAGTGAAGTAAAAGTAAAAGTTACTCAAAACAAAACTACTCCAGTAACGTAGGCCTACAGATACTTAAAAAGTGTACCACTGGCGTTTTGTAATGAACTTGTTCTTATACAGTATATACATACATATATATTTCACAATTAATTAAATAAACAAATAAATGTATAAATGAATGAAGGAAGGAAGGGAGGAAGGAAGGAAGGAATATTAAGAGGTTAAAATAGGAAAATTTGTAATATATTTAATAAGCATATTTATTTAGGTAACATGTAAAATAATAAAATATATTCAATATAAGTGTAACGGACAGGGCGTGACATTGAAGGTATAAAGCCAAATGTGAGCTTTATTAAAACAGATAGTAGTCAAGACAGGCAGAGTCCAACACCAGCAAACAACAGTATCCAAGGCAAGGCAAAGGAGTAATCCAAAAAACAGGCAAGGGCAGGCAGCAAACAATCACAAAAACAATGAAACAGTCCAAGGTCCAAAACACAGGCAAGGCAAGGCAAAATCATACATGATATGATATACAGTGTATAATTTTAATTGTTAAATGATGACCAGTTGTTACTAATATCAGTGTTCATACTCTTTAATTAGACTAAGTATAAAAAAACTCTGTGCCCTTCTTACCATTTTTATTGTTGAAAACAATCAATCATACTGTATTACAATATTATTATTGTATTATGATACTCTTTTAACGTATACATCTAAACTGTTCTGCTTAATGTACATGTAGATTATGTTCTGGTCTATATTATATTCATTCCTTCTATTAGTTATGATCCAGATGTGTGCAGACTGCTTATGGGTGAAGTTTCTATCAAGTGGAGATGAATTAATGTCTTGTCTGTGATGGAATCTATAATCAGGAGAAGATGAGAGGGTAAGTTTAGCATCAGATGGCAGTTTGCACAAAAACAGTTTTGGATGTTTGTTTAAAACACCAAATTCACATTTAACACAAAATTGTAACTGTTCTTAAGACAAGGGTATCTTAATTTCCTAAAACATTACCTTTTTGCTTTTTCATGAATCAATTTGTTTCAATGTACTTTCTACTGACAAACAAAGCTGAGCTTCTCCTCACAGTTTCTGTGTGTCCAAAGCTTTGTTTGCATGTCCAGGGCTCCACAACGAAGGTCTCTGTCAGGACACTGGGGCTGTTCATTCTGATACCAGGCTGTGTAGTCAAGATCATCTCCACTGACCCAGAACCAGTCCCCTGCTAGAAAGCGCAGACCAGTCCACACATATTCAGCCTGTGTGATTTCCAGTAAAGCAGAATTCATCTTGTCCGCTGTGCTCAGACTTGCCAGATCATTATAATGACTCCTGCAGTATTCCAGAGCTCCTTCCCAGGTCTCTTTCTGACGCACCAGAAGAAACTCTGATACGGTCATACAGAAGAAGGCATATTTAGCAGTGCATTCTGCATCATGTAGTGTCTTATGGAGTTTGCATAGAAAAGCACAGCTATAATTTATTCCTAGCTGACTTATATCCCAGCTAATGTGTGTTGCATTTTCATCTCCTGACCACTTCCAGACTCCTGATTCTGTGTAGAGTCCAACCCAGGCATCAGAAGGCTGATGAGCTGCATCTTCCAAAAACTGCTGTTCCTCGCTCTCATTGGTGAAGGTGGAGAGGTCATGAAAGTAAGTTTTGCAGTAGTCATTTGCAGAATCCCATGTCCTCTCCTCTTTCACAAAGAAATGATGTTTAATGAGACCGGAGGAGCGTCCGTAGAGCTCCATGATTAGGAGCAGAGCGAGTGTCGTCTTCATCTTCATTTTCTGAAGACGTTCTGTGATTTTGTGATAGTGATCAGTTGAAGTTGAGGACAGAACTGTGCATGATGACACTGACTCTCTCTTAAACTGACATACAAACAATGACAAATGAGTGTGATGGTGTGACCAATCACAACACAACTTTACAGACAGAGCAAACAAAACAGGTGCATTTATCCAATCAAAGAAACCTCATAATATTTCTAAGAAAGAAATTGTGGGCAGAGAAATGAGGCATGGAACATGGACTCAAAAACATGTTTTTGGTTTGTTTGTTTGTTTGTTTTTTCAATGTACTTGAAACTAATTAAACACAAGCTTTCAAGATGTTGTCACAATTTCGTTGTGCTCATCCAATTTACATAATCCATTTGAGTTGAGATTGGATAAGTGATGGTTGTTGTTGTTTTAAAGTACCAAACATGGGAACAAGATTTCAACTTTCCATCATGCTTTGCATGGGACTGGATAGAGAGAGTAAATGCTGAAATTAAGTGTTATTTTAAGCATGTTTTTTGCAAGATGACAAAATAGGCAGATGTGTTCATGTTTAATTTCACATTAAGTTAATACTTAAAAGAGTTTCTTCTATAAACACACATGCTGAAAAGAATGCACTTAATGAAAAACAACTACTGTGGAAGTGCCTTGGCTGTAACAGAAATAATTTTCTGCCATCATCAAACAGACAGTGTACTTCTTTCTGTGTAAAAAGCTTTATTTGGCTTGCTAGAATATCTTACTGTTATATAAATGTTTACTTCAAAATAATTGATTCAGTTAAGTTGAGCCAAAATTATTGTTATGAGCGTGTGGTTCTCAGTTGGTTTAAAAATGGTTCTAGATTTGGTTCTCGTCTGAACAGTATACAAATACCAATTAACCAAGCATGGATGAATAAAACATCCATTGCCTTATAAAACAGTTCATGGTGTTGTTAAAATGTGAAATGTTAGTTTTACAGTTTTACACAAATATTTAAATGGAATAATTATTCATAGTTTTGACCAAGTGAATGGCAAACTCAACTCAACAAATTACCAGTATAGTTGTTTAATTAAAAAAAATCACAATCACATATTTTTCAAAGCGTTCCGATATATCACTAAAATCTTTCATCAAGTTGACTTTCTCTTTTGTCATCTTTATTACAGACCAAATGGATTGTTTTTTTTAGAAATACAAATCAGAATTAGTAAAACAAATCTTTAATAGCATCTAAACGAGCAGAAAAGCATTTGCCTTTGAGAATAATGGAGCAGAATGCAAACATTTAATGCAAATATGCAATGGCAACTAAATGCAGAGATGATAAATTCTCAGCCAAGGGCTAAATCAGCTCTACGGCATTTACATTTATTTAGCTTTATATTTAATTATTTAGCAAAGTCTTCAGCAAAGCAACTAACAAATTAGACAAATATAGCACAATGAATTAATCTAGTGTTACCCTGACAAGTGTACAGGAGTAAAATAGAGCAGAAGTGCAAAAAAAACTACAACATTTTACAAATACACAGGAAATTATGTGTCTATCCAAATAAATTTTGTTTAAAGTTTAAACTGTAAAAAAATTAAAATAAAATAAAAAAATAAATATCCTGTCTTTCTATAGCAATTCATTATGTTGAATTTTGTTTCAGTACAATGAATTTTGTTTCAGGAACAAAAACCTTTCTTCATGTAGTATTAGAATCTTGGTGTCACAGTAGCAGTAATTCATGGGTCTCCAACCCTACTCCTGGAGAGCTACCATCCTGCAGATTTCAGCTCCAACCATTATCAAACACACCTGAACCAGCTAATCAAGGTGTTTAGGGTTCCATTATAACTACAGGCAGGTGTGTTGGAGCAGGGTTGAAACTGAAGTCTGCAGGATGGTAGCTCTCCAGGAGCAGGGTTGGAGATCCCTGCAGTAGGTTTAACCAAATAAGATAAATATATAAATGGACTGAATTTGTGTAAAATGGCTTAATGAGGATGACTGATTTGTAGACTTGAGCCTGAAATTAAGCAAATGCTATAGGGAAAAGCTCAAATAAAATAGCATGGATATTTGCATTACATTTACATTCAGAAAATATCATCATGTGTCCCCATGTTACAGAAATACCAGATGTATGTAACAGATCAGAGGAGTGCGTTGAGAGTGCTGAACGTAAGTATGACCAGGAGGACACCCTTCGAGGAGCTGGTTCGGAGGCATTGGAGTATGGCGGGCCTTCCGGTCCAAAAATAAGACTAATAACTTGTTGCAGGAAGTCACTATACTATTGCCAGGAGCTACTGAGTTTGCCACGACTCACCTTCCTCACATGGCGGGTGACTCACTCTCCTCACACGGCGGGCGACTCACTCTCTTCAGCTGGCGACACAAATAAGATAAATATATAAATGGACTGAATTTGTGTAAAATGGCTTAATGAGGATGACTGATTTGAAGACTTGAGCCTGAAATTAAGCAAATGCTATAGGGAAAAGCTCAAATAAAATAGCATGGATATTTGCATTACATTTACATTCAGAAAATATCATCATGTGTCCCCATGTTACAGAAATACCAGATGTATGTAACAGATCAGAGGAGTGCGTTGAGAGTGCTGAACGTAAGTATGACCAGGAGGACACCCTTCGAGGAGCTGGTTCGGAGGCATTGGAGTATGGCGGGCCTTCCGGTCCAAAAATAAGACTAATAACTTGTTGCAGGAAGTCACTATACTATTGCCAGGAGCTACTGAGTTTGCCACGACTCACCTTCCTCACATGGCGGGTGACTCACTCTCCTCACACGGCGGGCGACTCACTCTCTTCAGCTGGCGACTCACCTTCCTCACACGGCGGGCTACTCACTCTCCTCAGCTGGCGACTCACTCTCCTCACACGGCGGGCGATTCACTCTCCTCAGCTGGCGACTCACTTTCCTCACACAGTGGGCGACTCACTCTCCTCAGCTGGCGACTCACTCACTCTCCTCAGCTGGCGACTCACCCTCCTCACACGGCAGGCGACTCACTCTCCTCAGCAGGCGACTCACTCTCCTCACATGGCAGGTGACTCAAGGATAGGTCAATCAAAAATAAAAATTGTCATTAGTTACTTACCCTCTAGTTGTTCCAAACCTGTATGAGTTTCTTTCTTCTATTGAACTAAAAAGATGATATTCTGAATGTCAGTAACCAGACCGTTGACGGTAACCAGTGACTACCATTTTTTTCCCTACTATGGAAGTCACTGGCTACTGTCAACTGTCTGGTAACTGACATTCGAAATATCATCTTTTTAGTTCAATAGAAGAAACTAATAGATTTGGAACAACTAGAGGATAAGTCAATGATGACAGAATTATAATTCAGGTTTAACTATCCCTTGAAATGGATTCTCATGGCATTTTTGTTACCTTTATAAAAAGGCAATTTTCCCCTAACCTTGGCTATCAATTGTTTCTTTCTTCTATTGAACTAAAAAGATGATATTCTGAATGTCAGTAACCAGACAGTTGACGGTAACCAGTGACTACCATTTTTTTCCCTACTATGAAAGTCACTGGCTACTGTCAACTGTCTGGTAACTGACATTCGAAATATCATCTTTTTAGTTCAATAGAAGAAACTAATAGATTTGGAACAACTAGAGGATAAGTCAATGATGACAGAATTATAATTCAGGTTTAACTATCCCTTGAAATGGATTCTCATGGCATTTTTGTTACCTTTATAAAAAGGCAATTTTCCCCTAACCTTGGCTATCAATTTCATGTTAATTAGAATAATTCACTGTAGGGCTTTTACCATTATTTTTTCCACTGCAGAGGAAACAGGATCTGCATCAGAAGTGGCATTTAGACGCATGCATAAAATGTAATATGAATGTGCAAAACAAGCATGAAAAACATTGTCAATACATTTTTTATTTTTCAAAGTGTTCCCAGGCTTTTGACAAGCATGTACAGCAGTAGTACTCATCGAGTGAGCAAGGACTTTGTAGACCAGATGTTACGTGGGTACAAAGTTGCCAAAAACTGCGTGACTAAAACTAATGTAATCTTCCTTGGTTCACCAATTACAAGACCACCAACACCCAGAGAGGCACATCTTCTTAGAGAGAATGGCATAAATGTTCACCAGTGTTCATTCTAACAAAGGGCTATAATTAATGGAAGCCGATTTCACTCAAAGGCAAGCACAACACTATCGAGAAGAAATAACCATGCAGTTCTTACAGAAAATGGGGCAGTGGTACTTGTGAGATCATTTGTCGATGTGGGGCTTGACATAGGCTACAGCTTTATCGATCCAGTTAGCACTGCCAAATTTACCGCGATTAAAGACAGACAAACAGGGACTATTGTCTCTGGGATAGTCAAGGAGAGCTGTATTTTGAGTGAGGTCAAATTAATTAAATGCACTGAAATAAAAACAACTTGTGTTTACTTTAAAAATGTGCATGGAGTACATCATTTACTCTGCATTCAACCGAATAAATGGGAGGTTGATTGAATAGCTGTGTGAATGGTAATGCATGTATATAATGTTATATTGTATACTATGGTACAATAATTTGTATATATTCATATTGTTTATTTATAAGTTGTAACTTTATTTTATTAAGTACACTACGGTGACTGTATGACTTTGAGTTCACACTTGTGGTTTTGCATGTATAAGTCTATTCAGTATGTAAAACGCGTTGTATTGGTCTGTTGATGGCTTTGGTTGATTAGAGTCTATTTAGTGTATTGTTTGAGAAAGTTTAAAGTGCACTGTGGATTTAATTCTTGGCATGATTGTATTGTACAACAGTAGATTATTAATTTTTGCAATATGCATTTTTATTAAGCATTGACAAATAATATTTTTAATTTTTCTATGTGATATGTAATCTGTATATAACATTTTTTAATATTTATATTTGTGTTATATATTTCCAGTTATGTAGTTATTTATAATATGTACAGTTAATGTGTGATACAATGAATGCATGTATGAAATTATTTT